AAATATGCAGCCGTAGGGGTGTCTGGTGGCCTGAGGGCACCCCTGTTCCTTCTTAACCTCCTAGCGTTGACTTTTTAACCTGATTTATTTTTACTTGTCAGTTTCAACTTGTTTTTAAGCTATGCTTTAATGTATTTACTAGTTCGTTACCCCTGCTTCGCTATGAAACTATGTGGTCAGGCTTAGTTTTTGGGGAGGAAAATAAGGGGGAAAAAATCCTGCCTCTGCCTACCAGCATCCATCAGTATTTATCTGGCTAGAGTTGAGGGCTGTTTGGAAACTGAAACATTATTTGCTGTGTGAGCAAGGAGACAGCAAGGAGGCTGGGCGTGGCTTAGCTCAACTGTTCTGGACTAAAGCTGGTTGCTGCTCTGAAACTAAAACTGAAATTCCTCTGCTTGTGTTTTGCATTTGGAAGAGATTTCTTTTCAGGTGGGGAGGGGGAGTAGAACTCCTTAGCATCAGAGCATGTTAATAATAGTAATATACAAAATACTAATGCTCTGATGGTCATTTGGAAAAACCCTTTCTTAGTGAGCCCCTAAGCCAAGAGGAACATAGGTGTCAAATTTCAAGTTTGTAGGCTTTACATTTCTGGAGATTTTGTGATGATGCCTGAGTGTATTTCGCTTTTATATATATAGAATAAATATGATTTTTATAAAGCTGTTGCAAACCACCTAGAGCCCCTTACATGAAAAGGTTGGCCTAGAAATTTCATAAATAAAAAATACTTTAGAAGATTTCCAAACCCAGGTGAGACATTCTGTTAATGCTAAAAGTTGCCCCCCCCTCCTTTTTTTTTTTTAACTTTTCATATAACAAAAGAGCTTCAAGGTCTTTCATTCGTTGCCCTGGAGAACATACCAGCTCTTATAAAAAGTGGGGTAACTCAGGTGGCTATTCATTAAGCAGGACTACAGTGGCCACACCTCATTTGATAGGTTATAAAAGTACAGTATATTAGCACTGCTTCCCTTTCGGAGTAAACATACAGCCTCCTTTGACTCACGAAGAGGAAACATCCATATTTTCTTATGCTCATATCTCCAACTAATTATATTGTTGAGATGTTTTATCCAGACCGTTTTAATCCAGAATAATTTCTATGTTCCATTCTGCACATAGTTCCTTTCCGTAAATCAGAATTTCCTCTTTAAATCCCATCAATGTTAGGTGGAAGTCATCTTCCCCCACGCCACCCCAGCTGGATGGTGAGTGTTTTGTGATCTGAACACAGGTAACTTTCCTTAACCCCACCCAAAGTGAAAACCACATGCCTCTCTTCTGCCAAATAAACACACCCGGCAGTGTGAATCAGACTTGGTTTCCACCCCCCTTCCCAAGGAAGCCAACGAGGCATGGGAAAAGGGGCTGACTCACAAGTCACAGGATGGGCCCGGATCCTGTTCCTGGTTTTTCAGGCAGAAAGGGCTGGGAGGCAGCAAAAAGTGTGGTTTGGGGTAAGAACTTCTAGCCAAAGGCCAAACCTAGGTTTGTTGGCCATGTTTTCAGGCATGGGTGGTTTGCAGAGAGAGCAGTCTTGGGTCTAATAAGCTCCAGTTAAAAAAAACAAAACAAAACGAGCATCACAACCAATGCAGGCCGTATACAACATACTACAATCAGGGCCAGAATTTTCACTGCTAAAGCAAGAGGGTTGATAAGTGAGCCATGGTTTTATGACCTTTATGGCCGCCTTTAAATGAATTGCTGCAGTTGTTTAGTAAATTACATGGTTAGTAAGGGAGTCTTGGCTTTCCCAGTTGACTTTGTGCTTGTTGGAAGCTGGGTGGGAAAGTCCTAAATTGGGATTGTGTGACCAGGGCACACTGCAGCCATCAGAAATACATGCCTGTTGCCAAGCATCTGAATTTTGATTGATGCTGCAATGGAAAAAAGTGCACTGTCATTTTTTTCAGACCCATCGTAACTATGAACAGTTTTTGATAGAACGGTTGTATGTTGAGAACTATCTATATACAGTACTCAGAAATGGCTTTTTATCCTGGAGAACCACTATCAGCCAAGGTGACAAGACTTTAACTTAGACCCAGTTTGTTTATATTCACATGTGCATTTGCACCTAATGGGACATGAAGAGAGCACTCTTGTGCAGGGTAATGGAAACGACCTCACAGGACATCTACCTGGCATCTGCAAAGACGGTGAAAGCATCTCTCCTCTAGTTACAGACCCCTCACATCCCAGACATAAACTGTTTCAACTCCTACCCTCAAAACAACACTATAGAGCACTGCACACCAGAACAACTAGACACAAGGACAGTTTTTTCCCTAACGCCATCACTCTGCTAAACAAATAATTCCCTCAACACTGTCCAACTATTTACAAAGTCTGCATTACTATTATTACTAATATCCTCATCACTCCTTATCTCTCATCCCCTCCCACTTGTGACTGTATGACTGTAACTTTATCACTTGTATCCTTACGATTTATATTGACTGTTTCCTAGTATGGTTTGATTGCTTATTGTACCCTATGACTATTATTGAGTGTTGTACCTGATGATTCTTGACTCTTGACGAATGTATCTTTTCTTTTAGGTACCCTGAGAGCATTTGCACCAAAGACAAATTCCTTGTGTGTCCAACCACACTTGGCCAATAAAAGAATTCTATTCCCCAAGACTGCTCACTGGTAGCCATCCCTGATAAGTGTACTTGACAGCTACTGAGAACAGATAGCGGAACAGGAGGATTTATTTGCCAGTGCAAAATGATGGTAAGATTTTTGTGGTCACTTTGTTCATAAATAATAAGGCAGGCCTGGAAGACAATACTGCATGCGTGTTTGCTTGGCTTTATCCAAGTTCCTTCTTCTGACCTTGGGGCCTATCAGGAGAAAATGCTCCTCTTGTTTTTCCCCCCCAGAATTTGACCTTTGTAAGGTCACTGAGAGTTTACTTCTAGGTACAGCAAAAAGAACTGGCAGCACATGCTGATAAAAATAAGGGAAGGTAGCTTGGTACAATGGCTTGGTTGAAACACAAGGCTAAAGGCAATGTTTTCCAACCTCGGTAACTTTAAGATGTATGGACTTCAAGTCCCAGGATTCCGCAGCCAGCATTGACTCTAGGTGAATGGAAAACAACTTGCAGCGCTGATAGGATAGAAAGAAAAAAGAAAAAGAAAAAATAGAAAGAAAAAAGAAAGAAAAAATAAAAATAGAAAGAAACATAGGGTTGGAAGGGACATTAGAGGTCTTCTAGTCCAAACCCCCTGCTTGAGTAGATCTTATATCATGCCCGATAGGAGATGGACAAATATTTGCCTGAACTTTTCTTGAAAACTTCCAGCAATGGAGCATCTTGAATATATCTTGATTTTTCCCCCCTCCACCAGGAGCAATTCTTTTAAAAACAGAACATGGGCTTCTGAGCATGTGCACAGTTTTTTTTTTCTTTTTAGGAGGAAACTCCTTCTGGATGGTGCATCTTCCCCTGATCCCTTCCAATCTTTGCATACTTGCTGTGAACAGATAAGTTAACAGATAATCAGAGTTGGAAGGGACCTTATAGGTCATCTAGTCTAACCCCCGCCCAAGTGGGAGACCCTACACCATTTCTGACAAATGGCAGTCCAATCTCTTCTTGAAAGTCTCAAGTGATGAAGAAGAAACGATTTAGATCTCTTGGGCTAGTTTAGTTCACTGAATAAATCTGGATCCCCCTCCCAGTTGGTGATTTTCCTGACTGGCTTGCTGATAATTCCTTTCAACTGTAAATCAGCTCAGGTGTGTCAGGCTACAACTCCCAAATTCCTGTCATCCTCAGTCAATGGCGTGTCCTTCTAGGGAACTACAACTCCCATCTCCTCCAGCTAAAAGCCAACGGGAACTGTAGTCCAATCTGCATCTAATTGGGAAAGTTGTCTAGCTTTGTACTCAGTTTCTAAATATTGTGAGAAAGGGGAAAAGGAACTCACAAAAGAAACACACACAAGCACACCCTATAGCACATCTATTTTTACCAGCACAATCTCGAAGTAGCTATAAAAATATAGTCATCCTTAGAAAACCAATAAGCAATCCATAAGAAACAAGATCAGCAGATCCAAAATGACAGCAGGAAATTAAAAAAAAAATATCATTGCATAACCCCCAACATTAAACAATTAAAAGCAGTCTACCCTCATCCCCCCACCCACCAAATAGCCAACAAAGAGCAATAAAGCAATAACAGCTAAACATAAATAGCCAGTGACTTTTTTTTTTTTAAAAAAAAGATACATTAAAAATGTGCTTTCCTGTGACTTCTTCTATTTAAATCGTTTCTGGAACTGCTCCCTTAAAAAATAAATAAAGTCTATCTCTTAACTGCTTTAAAAAGGAGCGAAGCAAGTAAGGACTTTGAAAAAGGCCACAAAAGTGGGGAGAAAAAAAATATATCAGGAAAACAGCCTGGGAAATGTTTATTTTAAAGTAGCAATTCAACACATGCCTTTTTTTTTTTTATAAAGGAAAAAAAAATCACATGAAAGCAGTTACAGACAGAATTTTTTTTTTTTTGTAAGTAGCACAGCAAGAAAAGACTTTTTCCAAAAATAGGAAAGGACAGCAACCCCGGATATAATTTATTTATTTATTTTAAAAAAGGAGCAATCCAAGAAGTGATCTGTTTTTTGGTTTTTTTGTTTTTAAATCCCACGAAAGCAGCCAGGGACAGATTTTTCCTTTTTATTATTTTTTTTTTAAAGGAGCAATGCAAGAAATGACTTTTTTTTAAAAAAAAAAAAAAGTCGAAACTCCCACGAAAGCAGCCAAGGGCAGAAAGTTTTGCTTTGCAACTTCCCAGCCCATAAAAGAGCAAAAAAATTAAGTTTGCATTGAGTCAGGCTGGGAGGGGAAAGCCCTCGCCTGGTTCCATTCGGGGGTCCCTGTTTCGCCTCAAGGGGGGGGGGGGGGGGAAACCCGCCCTTTTTTTGGGGGGGGGGGTGGGGTCCCCCCCCCCCTTCCTTCCGCCCCCCCCCCCTCACCTTATAGGTGCTTTCAGTCAGTTTGTTGACCTCTTCGGGACCCCGAGACATGACGGCGGCGGTTAAAGGAGGCGAAGCCGGCGGGCTAGGTGGCCCCGGGCGGGCAGACGGGCGGCTGGGATCCCCTCGGGACGTGTGAGGCGACAACTCGGCTCCCTCGGCGGCGTGAGGCGGGGGAGAGAGAGAAAAGAGAGAGGCGAATCGCGCAGCGGCGTACAGACCCTCCTTCCTCGACGGCGCCCTCCGCGCCAACTGTCAAACTTGCGGAACCGGCCACCTCAGCGGAGGGAGGGGAGGCAGGGGGCGGGCTGTTCCCTCGGCGCGCGCTACCCCGCCCACCCCTGAGGTGAGGCGAGGCGGGGTGGGCGGAGCCGGGCGAGGCCGCTCGCGGAGGGAGGGTCGTCCCCCCCCAGAGGGAAGAGCCGGGCCGCCTGGCCTCCCTGAGGAGAAATATTAGACTCCGTCGCTTTTTTTTCCTCCCCCTCCTCTTTTTTTCCCGCCCTTTCTTCTCGTCCTCCCCCTCCACCGAGGAGGTCAAGCCCCCCCTCCTCTTCCTCCACCCGCACCGGGCGCAGACAGGGGCCCAAGCTGGTGCTCAAAGCCGGCCAAAGGGTGTGTATTGGGGGCCCCCCGGAAAGGAGACCACCAGGAGATGCCTGCCTTTGGTTGCGGTGCATCTTTTCGAGAGGGGCCGCACTTTCAGGAGAGGTGCTGCCCTCTAGTGGAGTTTTAATGCTAAGGTACCTTAGGAAGCAACCTAAGTTAGGGAATGGGTGGCTTTTTGTGTGTGTTTGTGCACAAGACAATTTGTGAAAATAATTGTGTGTGTGTGAGCGAGGGGTGCGTTTTGGGCAGTGCCCAAAGAAAAGGGTTAAAAAGCCCCCCCCTTCTTCAGCCTTAATGAATAAAGACATTCCTTTTCCTCTCTTCTTTTGGACCTTCCCTCGTTTGCAATTTGGGGTTCTTCATTGCATTATTTAATTGCATTAAACTATTGTGTTAACTGCACTCTTCCCCTCCCTCCAGTCTTTTCAGTTTGTTTATGCTCAGAATATATTTATTTATTTATCCAAGGACCTGGAAGAGCTCCAGCCCTTGCAACAACCGAATACAATGTGTCGAAAGGCAGGTTTGTATATGTCTTTGTTTCTCTAAAGATATTTTTTTTTTCTTCCCCTCTTGCGTTTTCTTACCCCTGAAGGCAGAGAGGCAAGCCAGGACCAAGCCAAACTAGCATGGTGTGCAAAAAGGCATTGTGGGAGGAGATGGTTGAAGAGCTGCCCGGCTTGCAAGGATGACGTTTACCCCGGCCTATGAACCAGGTATGCAGCTTGTGACGTTTGCAAACCGGGTTGAGACAATCAAGATCAAATTCCAGAGGCCTCCTTGTGTTAACTTTTCTCAGAAACCACCTGAAACGCAAACAGGTTTGTGATGGTGGCAGGGGCAATTCTCTGCTACTGGAGCTTGCTTTGTCAGTCTGCAGAGGGCAAAACCTTGTTTGTGACAAGCCCCAAATCCCTGAATTCAGTGGCCGAGTTAGTTCTCACAACTCCTTTACCCCTTGCGTGATAGAACCTCGGTTGACGTACGTTGGTTCAGGTGTAAATTGAGCTATGTAGATGCAACAAACTATGATGCATTTTTTAGGCTATCTGTGGTCTGTTCTGCAACCAACCGGGCATTATTTAAATAAACAAATTACAGACCAACCCTGGCTTGGTGTAACATGTGAATTCAAGAAGCTTTCAAGAAGAGGCTGGACTGCCATCGGTCGGAAATGGTGTAGGGTCTCCTGTTTGGGTTCTGGGGTTGGACTAGATCAGGGGTCGCCAACCTTTTGGACCTCAGGACCACCAAACTCATAATTTCAAACCCCGTGGACCAAAGACCCTGGGAAAATCCCCAAAAAAGTCTGCAGGAAAATTCCCCACCTTGTTTTCCTACCGATCGATCGTTCTTTATTTGGGATCGCAGGATACTGTCTCCAGCTCCGTTCTCAGGAGGAGAGAGAGAGAGAGACTTTTGGCTTTATGCAAGGAAAGCAGCAGAAGCAGCAGAAGTCTTTCTTTCTCTCCCCCAAACTCCTCCAGGAATGAGTCTTTGCCGGCGCAGCCTCTTGGAGCAGGAGGCCTTGCAGGGTCCCAAAGACTCATTTCTGGTGGAGTTTGGGGGAGAGAAAGAAAGACTTTTGCTGCTTTTCCTTGCATGCAGCCAAAAGCAGAAGAAATAAGAAGCGGAGAGAGGCAGCCCGGTGGCCAGGCCAGGCGCGTGGGGCGAGTGGGACAAGTTCCCTCCCTTCCCCCTTCCCCTCACTACCTCGTGGTGTTCGCAAAGCAAGCAACACAAGCCTTGTGTTCCTGCAGGCCCTGTGGGCAGTGCAGCCTTGTGTTCCCACACAGCCTGGATTAATTGGGGGTGACATTTCTCTGCGGACCACCAACATTTTCTTGCAGACCACCAGTGGTGCCCAGCTCACTAATTGGTGACCCCTGGACTAGATCAGGGGTCGCCAACCTTTTGGACCTCAGGGACAACCAAACTCATAATTTTAGATCCCAGGGACCACTAAATTGGTGTTGCTGTTTAGGAATCCATGCCGAACTTGACTTGGAAAGTTAGGTGTGAAGCTGCAGAGAGAGGCCTAGCTTATTCCCTTCACTCGTGTCTGCGGGGCTGTGTGTGCTTCTAAAGTGTGTTTGTGTGTGTGTGTGAGAGAGAGAGAGAGAGAGAAAGAGAGAGAACTATACGTTCTCCCGGTGCAGGACTATGCCATCGATCTATGAGTGAGTCATGCGTGTGAGCGGGCTGCCTCCCCGTGTTTTTCAGGAGGGACATCGTGCGTTCAGAGGTGAGCAGCTTGTACAGTCCTGAGCAGTCAAGTGTTAGCTCCACATTGTGAACCAAGCGAGTGTGAAGGACAGTGCACGCTGCACCCGCAGAGGGGCCAACAGCCTGAATGATCAATCACACAGAATCCACAATTAGATTCTAACCTCTGCATTCACCATTTTATCCTAAAAGATAACAACTCTGAAAATCTCAAAGGTGCTTTTTTTTCCCCCCTCCCAAGAGGCAACTGGACTTTTTTTCTTGTTTTTCTTTGAAGACGTTTCGCTTCTCATCTAAGGAGCTTCTTCAGTTCTGACTTGAATGGTGGGGAACGGAAGGATCGATACTCCTTGCAGACAGCTGGTCATTTGCATCCTTTTAGGGAGTCGTTGAGGCCTCTTGGAGGTTTGTCTGCAGCAGTCCCAAGAAGGCTCCACACCCATTTGCAGTGACCCTCAGGACACAGATAAATCTCCAAGTTAGGAGGCAGAAGGGTTATATATTTAATATATTTTCCCCATGCCCTTCTTCCTTGAACGATTTCTGACTCCAGGTTCTCAGGTGCTTTCCAATCCTGGCCGTTTATCAAGTGGTTCCCGTTGAGCAGTTATACTGGTTCTTTGTCGTGTCTGTTCAGCTTCTCATGTGGTCTCATTGGCACTTCTCTGTTTGACCTCTCTTGGATGTTCCAGTGAAATCCTTTGAGGATAAAAGACAATTTCCCTATTTAACCTGTTCCCCTAAATTAGGACAGTGAAATGTTTTAGGTTGATTTCTCAAGTATTGGATTTTTTTAAAAAAGTTGTTCTTTTCACCCCATGTGAAGAAATGTGGCATGTTCTTATAAAAAAGGACTTAACCAGTATCACCATTATCCTCTCTCCCTCCCTCCCTCCCTCTCCTCTTCCTCCTCCTCTCCTCCTCTTCTCCTTTTCCTCCTCTTCCTTTCTCCTCCTCCTCCTCCTCCTTTCTCCTCTTCCTCCTCTTCCTCCTCTACCTCCTCCTCCTCCTCCTCCTCCTTTCTCCTCCTCCTCCTCCTCCTTCCTCCTCCTCCTCCTCTTCCTCCTCCTCCTCCTCCTCCTCCTCCTCCTCCTTTCTCCTCCTCCTCTCCCCCCTCCCAAATTCAACAGAACAGACTACACTTCATTTGCTTTTTGTGCAGCTCAAGGCTGTTGGGGGAAGAAGAATTGAAATAGCTTTCTTAATTCAGTAGCCCAAAGATGAGTGAAAACTCAGAGGTTTAAACTTAAACGTTAAAGTTTACTCTATATTGTGATGATTGAAGCATCCCTGCTGCTTCCCCACGCTTAAAATACATTTCTATCAACAAGGACCAGGCTATCAGAACAAAAGAAAAAAAAAAACATGCCTGCTAGAATGAGTGCCAATTTTTCCTTAGCTGATCTAGCCTTGGTGGTCCAGGTGACACAGGTAGAAAAACAGATGTAAATCTGCAAATCCCTCCCAGCCTTGGGTTTTTTTTTAACCTTCCCTAGATTGGCTTTGCCCATAGCAATAAGGCATGGGGTGCTTACCCAGTGGATAGGTGTGTGTGTGTGTGTGTGATCTGGCTGCAGCATCTGCCACCCCATCGATTAGCTGGGTTGATGCGACTTATCTCGCTGTCTGTGTGGGCATCTCGTTCTTCTATTTTGCTTCTCATCAGACTGAAGAAGCTTCTTGGATGAGAAGCGAAATGTCTTCAAAGAAAATCCAGTTGCCTCTTGAAAAAAAGCTCAGAGGGTTGATGTGATGTTGGCTTTTTCTGAATTGCTTGGTGTCGCTTTTTCAGATTGTAGGTTTTGACAGTTGCTTATATTTATTTATAAATTTTATTGCTGATCAGAGTCCCTGGGATGAGAAAGGAAGAGAGAGAGAGAGCGAGAGAGAGAGAGAGAGAGATGGATATAGATATAAATAGATTTATACACACAGAGAAAGTATTTAAACTGTATATACACATGCACGCAATTTGCAATGAATAGAATAGAATTAAGAATAGATTACAGTAAGAGTAGAGTAGAATAGAATCTATTAAGAATAGAATAGAATAGAATAGAATAGAATAGAATAGAATAGAATAGAATAGAATAGAATAGAATAGAATAGAATAACAAGAGTTGGAAGGGACTTTGGAGGTCTTTTAGCCCAACCCCTGATCAGGCTGGAAACTATACCATTTCAGGCAAATAGTTGTCCAATCTCTTCTTAAGTTGTGGTAGTACCGTAGTTGTGATAGAAAACTTCCTGATGTTGATGGGCGGTACCTGAAGTTGAGAAAATGTTTTAGCAAAAAAGAGAGAGAGAGAGAGAAGTGGAGATAGAAATAGCCCAGCAAGAGAGTAAACTAACTTCATACAAATCCAGTGTGATGAGTAAAGAAACTTTTTTTTTTTTAAAAAAAGATCCACAACTGAGAAAATGCTGTG